AATATTGAACCACCCTTGCATCTAGGAATAAAGCCCACTTGATTGTAGTGAACGATTGTTTTACTGTATTATTGAGTTCTGTTTGCTAATATTTTGTTGAAGATTTTTGCGTCTATGTTCATCAGACATTTTGGCCTGTAGTTCTCTTTTTCTATAGTGTCTTTATCTGGTTTTGGTACCAGGGTAATGCTGGCCTCACAGAATGAATTTGAAAGTTTTCCTTCCTCTTATATTTTTTTGGAATAATTTGAGAATAGGTATTAATGCGTCTTGAAATGTTTAGTAGAATTCACCTGTGAAGCCATCTGGTCTTGGATTTTTATTTGTTGGGAGTTTTTTGATTACCAATTTAATTTCATTCCTAGTAACTGGTCTGTTCAAATTTTCTATTTCTTCCTGATTCAGTTTTGGTAAGGTTATATATTTCTAGGAATTTAAAGACTTATTTGTATTTCAGTGGTGTTCATTGTTATTGCTCCTCTTTCATTTCTGATTTTGTTTACTTGAATCCTCTCTTTTCTTTTTGATGAGTCTGGCTGGAAGTTTATCGATTTTGTTGATCTTTTCAAAGAACCAGCTCATTGATCTGTTCTGTTGTTTTTTTAGTTTCTATATCATCTATTTCTGCTCTAATCTTTATTATTTTCTTCCTTCTACTGGTTTTGGGTTTTTGTTGTTGTTGTTGTTGTTGTTGTTGTTTCCTAGCTCCTTTAAATGTTAGGTTAGGTTGTTTATTTGAGATTTTTCTTCTCAGGATAGGCCTATATTGCTGTGTACTCACTTCTTAGAACCACTTTTGCTGCATCCCAAAGATTTTGGACCTTTGTGTTTTCATTTTCATTTGTCTCCATGTATTTTTTTAATTTCTTCTTTGATTTCTTCATTGACCCATTCATTTGTAAGTAGCATGTTATTAACTTCCATGTATTTGTGCTCTTTCCAGATTTTTTTTCTTATGGTTGATTTCTAGTTTCATAGCATTTTGGTCAGAAAAGACGCATAATATGACTACAATCTTTTTCAATTTGTTGATACTTGTTTTGTGGTGTAATAAGTGATCTGTTCTGGAGAATGTTCCATGTGCACTTGAAAAGAATGTGTATTCTGTTTTAGGATGGAATATTCAGACTATATCTGTTAAACCCAACTGGCCCAATGTTTCATTCAAAGCCATCATTTCTTTGTTGATTTTCTGTTTTTATAAATCTGTCCATGATGTAAGTGGGCTGTTAAAGTCCCCTACTCTTATTGTATTACTCTCAGTTAGTTCCTTTATGTTTGTTATTAACCATCTTATATATTTGGGTGCTCCCATGTTGGGTGCATAAATATTTACAATTATTATATCTTCTTGTTGGATTGTCTCTTTTTTATTATATGGTATCCTTCTTTGTTTCTTGTTATAGTCTTTTTTTCAAAGTCTACTTTGTCTGATATAAGAATTGCTCCCCAGGCTTTCTTTTGACATCCATTTGCATGATAAATGTTTCTCCATCCATCTCCATTTCAATCTGCAGTTGTCTTTTGGTCTGAAATGAGTCTTGTAGGCACTAGATAGATGGGTCTTGTTGTTTGGGTTTTTGTTTTCGTTTTTAAGATTTATTCATTCATTTGAGAGAGAGAAAGAGAGTGAGCACAAGTGGGAGGGGTAGAGGGAGAGAGAGAATTTTAAATAGGTTCCATGCCCAGTGCAGAGCCTGACACAGGGCCCGATCTCATGATCCTGAGATTCTCAAGTCCAGTGAGTATCTTTATGACCATTACTTTAAATTCTCTATCAGGCATATGACTTATATCCATTTTGCTTAGATCTGTTGCTGTGGTTTTGTCCATTCTTCCATTTGGGACGTATTCCTCTGTCTCCTCATTTTGTCTAATTCTCTGTGTCTGTTTCTGTGTTAGGTAGGAAAGTCAGCTACGTCTCCCACTCTTGAAAGTAGTGGCCTTGTGAAGAAGAGGTCCTGTAGTGCCCTGTGTTGCAGTGTCCCCTGTTCCCCAGAACCTGGCGCTTTAGGGGGTCTCCCATGTGTGTTGTGTGCCCTGCTGTTGTGGCTGAGCCACTTTTCCCTTCAGTTCAGGCACCTGCAGTGGCTCTCCTTGCTGTTTTGGGCAGTGTTTGGTCCTGGTGGTGTTAGTGGGCCAGTCTGGGGCCACCCTGGGCTTGAGTTGAGTCAGACCAGGTGTTTGCCAGAGATGCAGGAGCACCAAACTGCAGGGTGCTTTCCCTGTGTTGCCCTTTGAGAAGCTTTCATTGGCAGGCGGGGCCTACAATCAGACCAGCTGTCTGCACCCAGCCACTGCTGGGGCCACAATATGATTGCTTGTGTGGTTATCTTCCCTTCTCCCCAAGGCAGGAGTCACTTTGGAGTGGTGCTGACCCTTGTTGGGGCTGCCTGCACACTACCAGGCTTATGGCCCTGGTTTGAATGGGCTCCAGCCAAGAGCACATTGGAGGGGGCAGAGCCGCAACATGCCCAGGTGTTAGGTAAGCGGGGAGTGGTGTTAGCCAGTTAGGTAGGGAATATCCGTGCTGTGCTGGTTCCTGCAGGTGGTCGTGTGTTTCTGCTGGGGGGCAGGGGAAGGAAATGGTGCCTACCGGCTCCTTTGTTCCTAGAGAAGTCTTCCAATGATCGCTGCCCCTCCAGCACATCTCCGAGACTAGTAAACAAATGTCCCTCCCATACACGCCAGGCATTTTTTAAACTGCTGCTTCTGTGCTGTATCTCTGTGGGCTCTTTCTGGTGCTATCTCTTTAAGGATAAGGACTCAGTTTCCTCTTGTCCTCCATCCTCTCCCAGAGCTGAGCCACTGATTTTTTAAAATTCCAGGGGCACCTGTCTGGGTTAGTCAATAGAGCATGTTTAACTCTTGATCTCGGTGTTGTGAGTTCGAGCCCCATGCTGGGTGTAGAGATTACTTAAAATAAAAATCTTAGGGCCTCCTGGGTGGCTCAGTCGATTAACCATCAAACTCTTGATTTCAGCTCAGGTCATGATCTCAGGATCATAAGAGGCAGAAGCAGACTCCCTGCTGAGCAGGGAACCCAATGTTGGGCTCAGTCCCAGGACCCTGAGATCATGACCTGAGCTAAGGCAGAGGCTTTACTGACTGAGCCACCCAGGCGTCCCTCTCTCCCTATCCCTCTGCTCCTCCTCCCCTGTCCCCCCCCACACACACACACGCTCTCTCTCTCTCAAAATAATAATAATAATAAAATTTAAAAATAAAATAAAAATCTTAAAAAATAAATAAAAATAAAATTCCAGGCTTTAAGTCTTGCTGGTTGTAAGAACTCATGAAATTTGGCTCCTCTAATTTTCAGAACCAAATATTATGGGGATTCATCTGCCCCCATGCGGGCTCCCCGGTGTAATAATCTGTTTCCCTCCCTTCTCCACAGCTCCCTCCCCACCCAACCCCCCTCTCCCTGCATACAGCAGTGGTCCGTTCACCTCCCCACTGCATCTCTGCCCTTGCTACCCTCTTCAGTGTGACCTCTTCTCTACCTTTAGTTATGGACTTTGTTCTTCCAGTCTTCAGGTCGTTTCCTGGGTTACTTAACACTGATGAGAGTGTCATCTGTTGTAACTCCCATTGTGTATCTATTGATACTCCCATTGTATCTATCAGACAAGGTGAGCTTAGGGTCCTCCTACTTCGCTATCTTCCCAGCAATCTTCCAGATGGGTTTTTAAATCAAAGATTCTTCTATCTGCAATCTAAATAAAAATTGTTCACATTCAGGAGGAGGTTAGTAATACCAACTTCCACATGCCATTCTAATCCTGGAAAATACAGAGGAAGGTGTTCAACTCAATAATGGATGGTACAGCCTAATGAATGTCTAACATTCAAATACCAAATGCGGTCACATGGAAGTAGAGAAAATGTCATAGAACACTTCTATGAAGCCATTAGTTTTTTTGTTTTTTTTTTTACTCTACCTGTACTTTTCATACATAGCAAACAAGACTTTCCCAAAATTAGTATTGAGATTCAAAAAAATCAACAAAAGCCAGATGAAAACCTAACATTTACTGAAGTATCATAATATTTCCATATCTAACACTTACTGAATTAATACCGAACGTTACTATGTTAAGCACGTTGCCTGCATTATCTCGTTTACCCATTTGATTTAATCCAGCAGATGCTTTTATTATTCCCTGTTTTGCGGATAAGGAGGGTGAGCCTTGGAAAGGTTCCATAACTAGCCCAAGATCATAGTGTCAGTGACCACTCAATTCTATTGCCTTCCTACAGAATGCCACAATGAAATTAAAATGAGGCTTGTAAGAGTCACTTATTACCCTGTACCTAGCAAGCCTTCCTCCTATGCAGAACCATCTCTCTCCCTCTGGTCCACCCTAGAAAGGCAAGCTGCTGCATATGCAGGGGTAGTGGTCAAGATCACAATTCCAAGCCCTCGAAAACAACTGTAAATTAAACTCTAAACCCCAGGAATTATAAGCAACCTGCCCCCAGGTGACACAGTTGATTGATGATAGAGGCCGACGTGAACCCCTGGGCTCCTGGCTGACTACTATGATTTCCCATTTCATTGAGGTACCTTGCATCTTTACCTGAATCAATTTTAAGATAAAGACTTCTAAACTCAGAAAACCAACAGCTACCACTTAACCCATTTTTTACATGAAAAACAGTGTTTGGGCTCAGGAGTCATTTAATATGAATCATAAAATGAGACCATTATATCCCTACTGCTTTAAAATGCAGTAATCATAGTTCACGTGGACTGCATTTCTGAAGGTAATGGAATTAAGTGAGTTTTTAAGTTGAAAACTCCACCCTCAGCAATCTGTTGCTTTGCTTTTTCCTTGTCTACTCTGCGTTATAAGGTTATTCATGAGACACTTATTACTGTGGGAAATTTTGCACTTAGACGTGTCTTGAGTGGACCTGAGATCCCTTCAGCCTCTTCTCCAGGACCCTCTCTGACATATGATGGCCTAACCGTTATCTGTCTGTCCTCCATCTAGCATGGCACCACGCTCCTCATGGTCGCCTCCTATGCCGGTCACATAGACTGTGTGAGGGAACTGGTTCTGCAAGGAGCAGACATCAATCTCCAGAGAGAGGTAGGTGAGGTTTACACTTGAATAAGAATGACCCAGGTGACAGAGAGTCGAAATTTTTACAGTAGTGAATTGGTAAGGAAGACAAGAGTAATCATTGCTTTTTTCCTACATGACATCGAAGCCCAGATTGCAGACTTCACTGTGCCTAAAATAAGGCCCAGGAATGGACCATTGGTTCTACTTCAATTGAATGAATGTTCTCAAGCATGTGTTGTAGTCTGAGGTAACCAAACCTCTAACCACATTCCCTAAGCTCTCCTACATTTCCTCCCAAGCTTAAATCAGGTCTTCCTTCTTCCCTTGGGATGAGGTGCTATAGAAGTTATAGGATTTTCACAGAGATCATTGTATTTTTAGAAGGATTGGGTCACCAACCTATTCTGAATGAGGCTCACTTGCTAGACTCTCTCAGCCTTCTTCATCAAACCATGATTTCAAAGGACTTCTCTGATTGGCCATATATTAAATAAGCTCTCCCCAAAAAGGCCATGTGGTGAACATTGAACTAAAATGTGAGCCTGTCCCCATGCTTCATTCAAAAGCCATCTTGGGAGTTCAGTCTGGCTAGAGGATCCATTCTTGGTCCAATGAAGAAGAGTGGTGGGAGGCTGGGCCTTTTAACATACTTTGGGAGTCTGATCTGAGGGGGGTCCATTTATTTCCAAGCTGATCTAGGGCCCCTAGGTCATCCCTAAAGTGAATTTGACCTCTCAGTCCACACTAACTCAGACCCAAGATGGCATCCTGGGGCAAGCTCCAAACCAAACTGGAGCTCTTGATTTTCCTTGATCCAGTCTTATTCGGGGGCCTGCCCTACAATTGTTTCAGAAAAGATGAGTCATCAACCAAACTTTCATCAATCAGTACACCCCATCTTCCAGGCTGGACTGCTCCCTCTGAGTGGAACAAATTAGGAAACCCCAGGTGTGAGGGCTGGATATTCCGTGGGGCATGTAAAGTCCCTCCCCTTTCCCCTCTGGGTGTCACCTTGGCTGTGGACCATGGAAGAGTGACACTTGATGGATAGAATCTGGAGTCTCGTTCTCCATAGCCCTGGACCAGCAAGTCTGATCTATCAAGAGGAGCCATACAGACTATAGCAAATCCAGTCTCACAGACAGATTCTTCTGAGCAATTTTCACAACACTGGAGCATTGTTTTAGGCCTTTTTTCACATAAGCAGCTAATTTCCTTCTGGGAGGAAAATGTTTGGGCCCATTTAGAATTATAGTTTGAAATTACCCTAATCTTTTTGTTTTTCCTTTATGTTTCACAGTCTTGGTTTATTATAACTTTAAAGAATAGACAGATTTTTCTCTAATAAAAACAATATGATTTAGATCTGCTTACTCAAAAAACTTTATCCTGAAGGGCAAGTTCAACACACACAAAAATATCTTCAGAACAACTGTGAAAAGCTGAGAGAAAAGGAACATTTGCTTTCCAGCCAATGTATGGTTTACATGGTTTTATATTTATCTGTTTGGTTCCAACTGCTCAACTAATATTCTTGGATATGAAAACTATTGTGCATTGAACAAAATGGCCCTCAAGGACTTACCAAAGTGCACCCAATTTAGAGGTAACCGTGTGGCTCAAATAATGATACTATGTGAGTTCCCAGTGGTCTCCTGAATTTCCCAAGGCCACGTCAGCCTCCAGTGATAGAGCTGCCAAAGAGAGGCCCCAGCCTCACCTCATCTGTTTTGCAATCAGAGAGTACCTAGCCGTGCTATGGAAGTTACTCATATAGCAGGCTTCTACCTGGGTTCATTCTTAATCCACTTTTCCAATTAACCCATATCAAAATACTTTGTTTCCTAAAAAAAAACAACAAACAAACAAACAAACAAAAAACTTTGTTTCCTGAAAAAGTACCTGTCATTATTTTCTTTGGGTGGCTATCTAGGTACACAGAGCTTGCAAGAACAGGAGGCTAATGATCCAGAGAGACCATTGCTCTAAAGAACCAGCAATATTGGCTAAAATTCTCAGGGATAGGAACTATGTGTGCAGTTGTCATGAAGCCCTGGGTTACAATAGTAAAGCACATGCTTTTAAGACTTTTATTCACATTCCAGACTGAAGTCTGGTTCTTTTGTCCACAGATTGCCCCATTCATGTGCACAATGATTAATGGTATGTGTATGTTCCAAAATTGACTGAAACTGCTATGGTATGATTTTTTAATTAATATATCACAAAATCTTAGTGAAAAATCCTTTTTCTTAGTGAAGAAACAATTTCTAGAAATTATCTCTGGTAGTGTCTAAAATTTAATGTCTATTAAGAAGATGAGAGTTTTCCTATGCTAGCCAAGTTTCTTCATCCAGACCTGTTTACATCTTCAGGTATCTGGATCTCAACGTTCTCCACCGTAAGAAAGCAATAAGAGGATACTTCCCACTTGTTTCTGTGGGAACCAAGGAGAAAATCACTCCTGAAAGGCTCCGGGAATGGTCACATGCCCTGTGCCTCCCCTGGGCAGCGTCTGGTTGGGGGCATAACCTGAGATAGAAGGTCATGACTGGGAAGGTATCGGCTTGTGTTCTGCCACAGTGGTTGGGCTAATTGTTCCCTGTCTCATACACACGCACACATGCACACACATGTACACACACACTTAAGAACAAGCTTCAGAGTCATCAGTAATCCTTAGGGCCTGCTCCTCCTGGCTTCTCCCACCTAGGTGAGAACCTACCACTTTAAGACTTTTGGGTAAGTCATGGAAGGTGTTTCTCCTCACTGTGCCTGGCAAAGCGTAATGTTAGCTTCATCCTTGCTCAAAGCACTGGAGTGATGAGCATCTTTATATGAAAAATATATATTGCCCACAAGAGCAGTATGATGAATTTGCTCCTATCACACGATTTGGCTACCAATCTTTGAGTAGGCTTGTAAAAATGGCTGGGAAGAGAGGATGCTAAAACTTGTGTCTCCGAGTAACACTGATCCGGTTTAAAATTTGGAACCAGGCTGTTTCTTGTTCCTGTGTCCTCTTTTGAGAAATATTTTGAATCCATTTGAGTGAATTACTTCGATTCATTCTACTCTGGGGTGCTTAACTTTGTAACCAGAACTCTGCTGGAATTCTTTCCTCTATGAATGAATGCCCATGTTAGCAAGCATGGTGGTTAGTTCCCTGTGGCCACTGTAACAAATTACCATCAACTAGGTGGCTTTGAAGATCAGAAATTTATACTTTTAGGATTCTGGAGGCCAGAAGATTCAAGGTGTGTCCCTCTGGAGGCCCCAGGGGAGAACCCATTCTTTACCTCTTTCAACTTCTGGTAGCTGCAGGCATTCCTTGACTTATGGCCGCAACTCCCTAATGTCCACCTCTGTGGTCACATTGCTTCTTCCTCTCTTCTGTGTTAAATGGGTCTCTACCTCACTGTTATAAAGACAGTTGTCACTGATTTAGGGCTCACCAGGATAAGCCAGGATAAGTGCCTCTTCTCAAAATCCTTAATCACGTCACATGCCACAGAAGGTAATATTCACAGGTTCCAAAAATTAGGATAAGGACATACCTTTTGGGTCCACCATTCATCCCATTATACCAACAATAAAGTTCTCCTTTCATATTCTCACTTCTCTGAACAAGGAATATAATCAGTTCAAATGTAGCCCCCTCCTATGTTAGAAGGCTTATATACAAGGATATTTTGTTTAGTTTGCAAATGTATAAATCAAATGTAATGTAACTAAATGTCTTAAAACCAGCTGCTTATTCTCTCCTAGTCAGGTACAACTGCCCTGTTCTTTGCTGCCCAGCAAGGACATAATGACGTCGTGAGATTTCTCTTTGAATTTGGAGCATCCAGTGAATTTAGGACCAAAGTAAGAGAACTTTCTTGATTTCATACCCTGTTGAAGAATGTTAGCAATCATGAGTATTCATGTCTCTCCATCCACAGTGTGAATTTGTGCTTCTCTTTTTTTTTTCTAAAGATTTTATTTATTTATTAGAGAGAGAGAAAGAGAGAGAGAGCACAAGCAGGGGGAGGGGCAGAGGGAGAGGGAGAAGCAGGTTCCCCGCTGAGCAGGGAACCTGACACGGGGCTCAATCCCAGGACCCTGGGATCATGATCTGAGCCAAAGGCAGATGCTTAACTGACTGAGCCACCCAGGTGCCCCACTCTTTTTATAAGATTTTCAAGCCTAAGAAGGTGGGTTTCACAAAGTTACTTGTAATGGCTCAGAGGTAGTCCTAGGGAATCAATTCAAAACATGACATTTTTTGATGAATCACAGACCTGTACCCATGAAACAAATAATACATCATATGTTAATTTAAAAAAGTAAAAAAAAAAATGATATTTTTACTCTGGGTTTGTAATTTTATGGGGAATTATTTAGATTCTGTCTTGCACTGGTAGCTTTCTACTTTGGGACACTAATTTTTGTTATCAGGATGGATACAGTAGCAGGTGTTTTGTAACCCCCTGTTTTCATGGGCTTTTTTTTACTTCAAGGCTAATCCCAGTGCTCTGATAGAAACTGTCAAAGTATTTAAGCCACTCTTAGTGAATCTGAGAGATTTCTAAGGAGGGCGATTTGACAGGCAGTTTACTTTCTGAGATGTCCTCACTGAACTATGTAATACATGATTACACTTTATATAGTTGGGCAAGGAAATATGATTCTTCCTTTAAAGAAGTCATTGATTCTTCATGTTCAACACACAGATAGGAAAACTTAGGTTGCAGAAAGATCAATTTTGTGTTCATGATATCATTTTACATGATAATGGTTTATAGTAGGAGAATTTGAACTGCTTTAACATTTTTGGAATTATCAACTTATTTAGAGCCTAATCATAACCAAAAAAATTCCTGGAAATTTGCATTACTTGGAATCTTTTAGGCTTTCTTAATCCTTTGTATGTGATATTTGCATATCAGGGGAGTTTCCAGTGTTTTTTTTTCTTTTCCTGTTAAGATGCTGTTAAGTAGATTTGAATTTCAGATAGGATCAGTCTGTTCTGAATGTGCCATTGGATGGTACACATGCCTCCATACATGCTGAATATAATATACAATAATCCAAAATATATGTGTGTGTATATTTTTATATTATCATTTTATTTGTCATTATAAAAGTAATACAACTAAAAATAGAAAGTTCGACAAATGTAAATCTCAACTCTTTTAACTAAGTCAGAATGATCATGCAGCACCATATGGCTGCTTCAGTCTTCTTGGTTAACAAGTTAATGCTGGCTTAAAGCCTTTGTCCCTGCACCACGGGGCCCAGAGTGCAATTCCAAATGTTTCCATTAGGTCAACTGCAGGTGTCCGAGAACTTTCCATGGGAAGAAGAGAATGTCGAGAGGCGTTGAGTTTTTATATGATCCTGTCATCAAAACTGCCTTTCTTTCAACAATTGTTCTCAACGTTATTAAAGCTATATCCCACAAAATGTGTTTTTAAAAATAAAAAGGTACAAAGATACCTGGGTGGCTCAGTTGTAAAGCATCTGCCTTCGGCTCAGATCATGATCTCAGGGTCCTGAGATCGAGCCCCACATCGGGCTCCCTGCTCAGCGGGGAGTCTGCCGCTTCTCCCTCTGCCTGCCACTCCCCCTGCTTGTACACATACACACACGCATGCAGGCGTGCGCACTCTCTCTCAAATAAATAAAATCTTTAAAAATAAGTAAATAAGTAAAAGGTACAGGGGCACCTGAGTGGCTCGGTTGGTTAAGTGTCTGACTCTGGACCTCTGCTCAGGTCATGATCTCAGTGTCATGAGTTCAAGCCCCACATTGGGCTCCATGCTGGGTATGGAGCCTACTTAAAAAATAAATAAATAAAACAATAAAAATAAAAGGTACCAGCTCTTCTATGACAATCACCATATTTTATCTACTCTCTTACCTCATTAGGCAAAGAGAAAAATCGACAGAACGAAAGTTGGAAATGTTGGTGCTCATTGCTACTATTGCAATTTTTGTTGCCCCACACCCCACCCACACTGGCCCCCACCACCAGCCTCAGCCCTCACAGCTCAAGTGCCCCCCTGCCACAGCCTGTGAACAAGGGAGCTCTTACGACAGTGTTTCTCCAAGTGAGGCCCACCTGCCACCTTCACACCACAGTCCCCTCACGTGACTGGTCAGAAAGCCTGTTTCTGGGCCTCATCAGAATCAGACCCTGTGAGGGTGGGAGACGGAGGGCAGGCATTTTGGATAAACACTCTATGCCCCAAATTTAGACACCACACTATCTTAGAGTTATGATTTGTATTTCAGAACCAGATGACATGTTCCTGCATTATTTACAATTAGGACAGATGTCCACAGACCAATTCACAGAGCCAAACAAACAGCTCCCTAGCTGTAGATGGGAAAAGATAATGCCTTGGCTACAGCACCTGAGAAAAACCGTCAAGGGTTTCAGTTGACCACAGACTCAGTGAGTCAGTAGTGTGATGTGGTTGACATAAAAGCTAATTCTCATTTAGGCTGTCGAAATAAAAGTAGAGTAGTAGACGGAACAAAGGAATGTCCCATTCCCCGTCAGACCACATCTACTGTTCTGGGCTCCGATCCGTTCTAGGGCCCACATTTTAAAAGAGATCTGGACAAACTGGCACATGTTCAAAGGAAAACGCTAAGCAGGATGGTGAGAGGCTCACAGTGCAGCAGTTATCCACTCTTAATGGACGCACACCTTGTTCCTTGAAGACTATGGCCCCAGACGGTTAATCCATAAATCACCTTAATCTCAGAGGCCCGCAGCTGGAGGGGAAACCACAGGGAGAAGCCAGCCTTTGTCAAGCGGGTCTCTAGCCAGAAGACACAGGAGACTATTCGGGTAATTCCAAGACAAAACTGACTGGCACAGACTTTCTATGCTTCATTTCCTTTATTGAGAGGCAAATAGATGATTCTGCATTTGACCTGGGGAATTACTCACAATAACATTGTCCAGTAACTGTAATGTATCCCAAGCGAGTCATCCACATGTACAACGTGATGCCTTTAGGAGGAAACTTGTCATGAATATAAAGAGAACAAGATGAAAAAGGAAAAGTGAGTTTGTTGTTATCTATGGGGTAAGTCTTTTCCAAAGCTCTCCCTCTGTAAGGAGCATCTGCTTGGTAAACATGTGCCTGCACCCTTTCTAACGTGTTGCCACTTTGCAGGATGGGGGCACGGCCCTGTTGGCTGCCAGTCAGTACGGGCACATGCAGGTGGTGGAGACGTTGCTGAAGCATGGAGCCAACATCCACGACCAACTCTACGTGAGTGCATTTTCAAGGGCACGTTAGGTGGACCCTTGCCTATCCCCTCCTCACACACAGCACTGCAGTCTAAATTCAGAGGTCGGAAATGCCACCTTCAAAAATGTTTTTTTTTTTTTTTTAAGATTTTATTTATTTATTTGACAGAGAGAGACATAGTGAGAGAGAGAGCACAAGCAGGGGGAGTGGGAGGGGGAGAAGCAGGCTTCCCGCTGAGCAGGGAGCCTGATGCAGGGCTCGATCCCAGGACCCTGGGATCACGACCTGAGCCAAAGGCAGACGCTTAACGACTGAGCCACCCAGGCACCACTCAAAGATGTTTTTAATGAACAGTAGGACTTTAATCTGAGACATCAAAGAAAAAGATTTAACCAGATGAGCTTTTTCTGTGGAGAAACACATAATCTTGTTTACCCATCTTTGTTCTACCCTCTTAAATCTCTTGTACATATGAAATATTCATATAATGTATGTACTTAGGATCTTCAAAAATCGTGTGACACGTACTTACCCATAAGATAACCAGCCCAGCATATGGATTTGCTGAAAAGCAAAATAATGCTCCTGTTGTAGAGTTACCCAGGAGGAAGAGCACACATGAAGGAGAAATCAAGTTATTTGGAAGAGAAGTGAGGTTGGGGTGGTGAAGAACTGTAAAGTACATGCACACCATCGGCCTTCAAGAGGCATCTACCATGAATGTGGGTCTGTTGCAGCTAATTAACAATTAGCTCATTGCCTAAAGGCTCTTTTAATTGTCACTGTCATTCCAAAGGATTTATGGCAAATGTTATCCTGGTTTTGGACAACAACAACAACAAAAATAAAACATGAGGAGATGAAGTGACTTGATAGAGTATCTTCATGAGGAGTGAAAGAACCTACTGCCAGTTACGTAGGAATCGTATTTTAGGCTATCCCACCACCAGATATTTAGCACTGGCACCATACTTTCACAGACAAGTAGTGAGATGTGTCCATGTGAACTTTTCCATTTGCACACCTTTCCTGAGTTTACACAATTGACTGCCACATCAGAGACCTCTTTGAAGTACATAGCAACGAGCATTACCCTTTGGCACTTCAAAATCTGTAACACCATTTGAACGTGTGGCTTTCCCGTTTGAATGACTGAATTACTTGATTCAGGTCTGAAAGAGTGAGTCTCAGCTCTGGCTGCCATTAGAATCACGTAGGGAACTGGAAAAAAAAGGGGGGGTCTTCCAGGCCCATTCCAGACTAATCCGGAATCTCTGAGGGCACAGCTGGGCAGCAGATGGTTCTGATGGGTGGCCAAGTCTAAGGAACCTGGGTCTACAGCTTTGGCTATTTCTTTGGCTGCATATAATGAAGTATATCTGAGAGCATGAATGAGTCTGTGTGTGTGTGTGTGTGTGTATGTGTGTGTGGTTGAACAGGAAGAGCCCAAGTCTTTGGAAAAGGAAAATGAGTTGTGATTTTCATCCCATTACCACTGATAGTCAGCAATCCAGATTGACTGGCATAGTTGTACTGTTAGATAACATTCCATCCAAAAGGCTCACCCAGGGTGGCACATCATCCTAGAAATGCAGAGTTTGGGGAGAGCCCATTCCTGTACTAAATTCCTCTCTGTTATGAAGTGACTCAAGAAATTTCATGCACTGAAACTTCCATTTTATGTAAGATGTTTACTCTTACCCAAACCATCCAAATATAATTGTTTCCACTAAAAACAATTGAAACATGGAGGATCCCCGGTCAATGACTCCTGAAAGCTTCTAGGAACAGAAGAAATGTGTCGGGTGCTGTAAAAACTGCAATGCTTGGATATCCATTTTAGAAAATTTCCAAGAGTTACCAGCTGCTAAGAGCACCATGGATTTTCTGTGACAACACAGTAAGGAGCAGCTGAACATTTCATCCCCATATCAAACATCTGCTTAAAGATCTATACAGGCTGAGTAATTTTTTAATGATTGCCTTAAGAGGAGTCTGGCAGCTCAGCTGACACCCACCAGAAATCCAGCACCCTCCACCTGGTTGGACTTGCAGGGAAAAGCGCTTTGTATTTTAACTTGTGGTTAATGTTCCTGATGGGAGGGGTGGTAATTAACTGGGTTAGTGAGGTGTTTTCCACTAGGATGTGCTCGGGTTTTCCACTGTGGTCTAAAAATAATGAAGCTCAGCACGCTCTGTGGATGCTGTCTATGTGAAGTGAGCATCTGGGGAGGATGCATGCTCTGAGCTGATTGCTGCCTTTGCTGCCATTACCAATGACATGTCTTTAAGAAAAAAATGCCCAGAAGACATAGACACTCATTTAAAAAGAAAAAAAAAAACACTAAAGAAAAATGGAAGCAAGCGCTTGCTTTGAGCTTTTCTGCAGGACTGCTTCGTTGTTTGTAGGTGTAGTTGCTGTGTCCTGGCTGTCAGGGAGCAAGCTCATGGATAGTCTCACCAGGGCAGTTTTTCTAGAAGCATCTTTTGTTTCAAAGCTTGGAAAAACGGCGTGTTGGGGGAACGTGGATAAAGGGGCAGTAAAGAGAAAGGGGTAGGAAAGATCTAATTAAAAGGACACCTTTATTTCTGATTCATAAAACATACCAAACAGGTTTGGGGGACTTGTTTGTTGTTCTTATTAATAGATTTTATTCTGTGTTTGTTTTTAAACTAACACTGAGCCCTTACTTGACAAAAGAATTGAAGTGGAAAACAATATTAAATGTACGTATTTGTTAAACTAATCAAAAGGGGGTTAACCCCGAGATCCCACAACTAAAGCAGGTGGCCGCTAACGAGAAGTCTGTGCAGACAAGAGAAAAATGATGACTGGCTATTTGGACAAGCCTGGAGGCTGCTGCCAAGGGGGTGGATCATAAGCTCCATGATCAAGATTGTGTAGAGTGAACAGTCATTACATTTATTATAACTTATCTTTATAAGACTCTTTGAAATGTTACCTTTCCACCTGACTTACTATGATATTTTAGACTATTCTTCAAAGAATAAAACACTAACCATGAATATGAAAACAAAGTGGGGGACAGAAATGGAAAGTTGTATTAAATGGATGCATTTTTAATTGGATTTCTTTTAAAATAAACGTGAAAAATGATTCAAACCCTTTCATTTTGACCTCTCTCAGGATGGAGCCACTTCTCTCTTCCTCGCTGCCCAAGGTGGCTACTTGGATGTGATTCGATTATTGTTGTCTTCAGGAGCAAAAGTCAACCAACCAAGGCAGGTAATGTCCGTGTGCGCAGAGCGGTGGGGCAGGGAGGGCCTGCCGTCCTGCAGCAGCTCCTGAGATAACTGGTCAACTCTGGGCGTCATTCAACTCTTTCACCTCGGTGATGAAGCTAATCTTGGATTAGGGCTTCTCTTGTCCTTAGCTTTGGGCTCACCTGCAAGCCTGTGATACCAGGCTGACTTCACCATTTACTGTTTTGGAAACTTGGGTGTTTGGTGTATGAGGTCAAGTACATACTCAGCCACCTCCTGTTCAAATAAATTATGGCTGCACTGAGGTTAGGAGAGTGGGCTGGCCTGGAACATAGGTAAATAGAGGTGAGTCAGGTAGCCTTGCCCCTGCCCCGTCTCTCCACTGATATGCTGCCTCATCTCTTATCCCCTTTTCTTCTTCGACCACACCAAAGAGGAGCCCATTACCCACTGGGAATCATTAGTAGGTTCCACACCTTCATCTCTCATAGTTATAACACCACTGAGAATTAATTTACCAACAGCAAGCTAACACCTAGCAAATCAGTTGATACTTAAAGGAACAGAACTACCAGGTAATATAGGTCACACTTTATGAATAGTAAAGACCCATCCAAATCTAAGGCATTATAATTAGCTTCTCTTATATTGGAATGATTTCTGCACTAATTAATTTGTTTTTAACAAAACATTTTAGATTAAAGTAACATTACTTTAAAGGTAGTTTTCTCGGGAAAAGTCAAGCTGATTTCTTCCCAGTAAATGAAACCCAGGCAGATCCCCACTGTAATGTAACCTAATACATAATGTAACATATGCCTATATGTTCACATAGGGAAGGTTGGTCTGAGCTCTTGGCCCCAGGCTGCTTCAGTCTTTAGAAATCCAAGCACATAGGAAGCTGAGAAAGGGCCTTTGGGCAAAGTGGGTTTGAGGTCAGGAATCCTGAGTTCTAGATCCAGCTCTGCCAATAACTAGCTGTGTGGCTTGGAACTAGTGAATCAACCTCTCTGGACTTCTCTTCCTTCATCTGAAAATTAGGAGGTTGGACAGGATGATCCTGACAATCTCTTCAAGATCCCCCTTTTTAATAACTGTTTTATTCAGTATTCAGATTTCTTAAGCACTTAGCATATGCCAGATACTGCTATGAACGTGAGATTAAATTTTTAGAATTTTAAAGATATTCTTAGATTTAGATGGCCCCAGGAATACTCTTGGGAAAGGAAAGCTTTTAGAAAAAGTTGCACTTCTATACCTGCCAGAGTTGACATTTGGGGATTGGAGCTTATTAATATTTTCTTGTTGGTCCTTCTTATTTTGAAAGTATTGATTGGTTCTGAATCAGACGCTTCATTTTGCCAAAGTTAATAAACAGAGCTGGTCATTTTTAGATTGCAGAACTTTGACTTGGAGGCCATTATTGAGGGTACCACCGTAAATTTAGAAATGAAAGATTGTCAAGATTATTAGGCCTCTCCGTCTGTACATCTTTCTGAAATAAACTCTGGCACTTTGACAAATCTATTCGTAAAATAAATTGTATTAACCATATGCCTAAGGTACTATTCATAAAAAAGACAAGTTGATAGAAGAGATTATATTTCAGGAGGGGGGGAAAGATGGCGGAGGAGTAGGGGACCCTATTTCAACTGGTCCCC